ACTCTTTCGAGTGTGCTTATAAGGGCCCATGTCTCATATTTCAAAGCTACAGGTCTGGGAACACATAGCAATGACAGTCTCATCAAATCTAAGCACCAAATGCTGCTCTCAAAAGAGCCTCATTTCATAACAAAACTGTCAATTGCTTTAAAATCTTCATCCAAGCAATGCCTTGTTATATTACACAATGGTATTCATATTTTACAATAATTTATGCCTGGAGGATTTGGGTATTTTTTAAAAAAACATTTGAAAACTCAGGGATTTTGTGGGAAATTTGAACACTCAGCTCACAGATCACTTGCCTGTAAACCCTGGTGCACAAACGCATGTGCCATTCAGGCCTTCGCTGTCGCAGGTGCCCCCGTTCAGACAGCTGACATTAGCACAGGGATCCTTGTACAGTTCACAGTGTATCCCTGCAGAGAGACAAATGAAAAAGCGTGATTCATTAAGGAGTCTCCAGCTCCCTCAGTGTTTCAACAGCTGGGGCACTGTAGAGGCAGATTCCCAGCGTACATATATGTGCCCATGTCTGTGCATGGATGTGCACATGCCCACTCTTGGCTTCAGATTTGTAAAAATGTACCTTATGAGAAAATAAAAAATGTCAATCCCTGCCCATAGGTCTCCCATAAAGTCTTTTTATCTGGGTTCTCTCTGGTTACATGGCCCAGAGCCTAGGGAACAGAAAGCTAAAAGCCTGAAAGATACAATTTAGCAAAGAACAATGCTTACTCAGTCTCCAAGAGATGCAGAAAATAAGGAGACAACTTTGATAAAATATGAATGATCGATGACAGCATCCTGAAGGTGATAATTTGGAAAACTGCAGGAGAGAGGAAGTGACTCAATACTAAGAGTTCATTCTCAGAGACAAAAATCGGTTCGCCACAGACTCAAGATATTCATACATACCATGTTCCAGACCCTGATTCTGTGCTTTATGTCTAATTCCTTTCTGACAACTCCATAAGACAAATACCCTATTCCCCATTTCACAGATGAGGAACCCAAAAAGAATCCAAGTTCACAAGACAGGTTAGGAAAGAAGTTGGGATTTGAACTTGCCGGTAATGCCAATCCGCAATCTGTGCTTGCTAAGCATTTGCTGAGAATGAGCTCAGGGTAGCCACAGAAACATATGAAGTCCTGTAGAACGCAGTTCCACTCAACAAAGAGGAGGCATTTTTAAAAGTCTATAGAGTAAAACACAGAAAGTGTCCCATTGTGTAAAACATAATAAAGAATATGTGTTCTTGTATGTAGGCAGATAAATGCCTGGTAAAATGAGACTGGATTACTAACAGAAAATGAGATTATGCTGATGTTCACATCTGTGTATTTCTACATTGTTGGCATTTTTTACAATGAGTATGTGTTATTTTTAATTGTATCAAAAAATAAAAATCTAAGCCTATTTTTTTAAAGGTAGGACATTTGCTGGTATTACAATGGCATGCCAAGATGGGTAAATGAGTTAGTGTGTGTGTGTGTGTGTGTGTGTGTGTGTGTCTCAATCCCACCCTTAGAAGAAGACAAGTCAGCCAGCAGATGGCATGGAGGTTAAGGCAACTGGAACCCACATGATTAATTGCATGGTTCGAGTCCTGGATTCAGTATCTTTCTCTTCTTCAAAATGTTCATTGCGAAATAAGGATTTATATTATTTACAAATTCCCCTAGGGCTGATCAATGAGAACCAGGTGACAAATAAAGCTTTCAAGACAGCATAAGGGCTCAGCAGTGATGCCACTGTTCGATCTGAGGACCTCTGAGAAGGTCCCAGGTTCACATCCCAAGGTTTCCCAGCATATGCCAGGCCCATACCAGCTGGCTGAGGCTGGGGTAGGATCGCAGCATAAAGACCCTATGGGAGGAGCCCCTCTCTCTCTGTTTTCCTCTCTAATGGAAGAAATAAGTAAAGAAAATTTTGAAAAACATAAAGGCTTCAATTCTAATTGGAAATATAACCATCACCAAAGTTCAGAGATATCGGAGCCTAAAGATCATTTTAATATGATCTTCCTTTGGTTTTTGAAAACCCCTACCCAGTCTAGCCTGTGTAATATAATATAACTAACATACCAGCACACAAACTACATTTCTCTTTTTAAATTTTTTTTTAATTTGCTATAAGGTACATGCTTTTCTCGAGAGAAACAGAGAGAGAGAGTGAGAGAGTGAGAGAGAGAAGGAAAGCCCCCTGGGGGTGGGGAGATGGGCCAAAATGGACGACCATGCCACAATCTCTTCTCCATTCTCCCCTAGGATTTAAAGTACATACACACATATGTGCCCCATGTGTTTTTCAAGTGGATGAGTCTGGGACTTGAGCCATGTAGTCGGCTTCATGGAATCTGGTACCTTAATCCAGCACCTGACAGGTCCTACATTTTTCAAATACAGCTGACAAAGCAAGTTCTACACTAAACATTTAAGCATCTTAATCTTAAAGTCTTCAATAGAGTAAATCTGAGAAAACGCCCAAGATGATAAGTAATTTTGACCTTTTGGGTGTTGGAGGGTTTGTTTTTCTTTAAAGTACTCTTTCGAGTGTGCTTATAAGGGCCCATGTCTCATATTTCAAAGCTACAGGTCTGGGAACACATAGCAATGACAGTCTCATCAAATCTAAGCACCAAATGCTGCTCTCAAAAGAGCCTCATTTCATAACAAAACTGTCAATTGCTTTAAAATCTTCATCCAAGCAATGCCTTGTTATATTACACAATGGTATTCATATTTTACAATAATTTATGCCTGGAGGATTTGGGTATTTTTTAAAAAAACATTTGAAAACTCAGGGATTTTGTGGGAAATTTGAACACTCAGCTCACAGATCACTTGCCTGTAAACCCTGGTGCACAAACGCATGTGCCATTCAGGCCTTCGCTGTCGCAGGTGCCCCCGTTCAGACAGCTGACATTAGCACAGGGATCCTTGTACAGTTCACAGTGTATCCCTGCAGAGAGACAAATGAAAAAGCGTGATTCATTAAGGAGTCTCCAGCTCCCTCAGTGTTTCAACAGCTGGGGCACTGTAGAGGCAGATTCCCAGCGTACATATATGTGCCCATGTCTGTGCATGGATGTGCACATGCCCACTCTTGGCTTCAGATTTGTAAAAATGTACCTTATGAGAAAATAAAAAATGTCAATCCCTGCCCATAGGTCTCCCATAAAGTCTTTTTATCTGGGTTCTCTCTGGTTACATGGCCCAGAGCCTAGGGAACAGAAAGCTAAAAGCCTGAAAGATACAATTTAGCAAAGAACAATGCTTACTCAGTCTCCAAGAGATGCAGAAAATAAGGAGACAACTTTGATAAAATATGAATGATCGATGACAGCATCCTGAAGGTGATAATTTGGAAAACTGCAGGAGAGAGGAAGTGACTCAATACTAAGAGTTCATTCTCAGAGACAAAAATCGGTTCGCCACAGACTCAAGATACTCATACATACCATGTTCCAGACCCTGATTCTGTGCTTTATGTCTAATTCCTTTCTGACAACTCCATAAGACAAATACCCTATTCCCCATTTCACAGATGAGGAACCCAAAAAGAATCCAAGTTCACAAGACAGGTTAGGAAAGAAGTTGGGATTTGAACTTGCCGGTAATGCCAATCCGCAATCTGTGCTTGCTAAGCATTTGCTGAGAATGAGCTCAGGGTAGCCACAGAAACATATGAAGTCCTGTAGAACGCAGTTCCACTCAACAAAGAGGAGGCATTTTTAAAAGTCTATAGAGTAAAACACAGAAAGTGTCCCATTGTGTAAAACATAATAAAGAATATGTGTTCTTGTATGTAGGCAGATAAATGCCTGGTAAAATGAGACTGGATTACTAACAGAAAATGAGATTATGCTGATGTTCACATCTGTGTATTTCTACATTGTTGGCATTTTTTACAATGAGTATGTGTTATTTTTAATTGTATCAAAAAATAAAAATCTAAGCCTATTTTTTTAAAGGTAGGACATTTGCTGGTATTACAATGGCATGCCAAGATGGGTAAATGAGTTAGTGTGTGTGTGTGTGTGTGTGTGTGTGTGTGTGTGTCTCAATCCCACCCTTAGAAGAAGACAAGTCAGCCAGCAGATGGCATGGAGGTTAAGGCAACTGGAACCCACATGATTAATTGCATGGTTCGAGTCCTGGATTCAGTATCTTTCTCTTCTTCAAAATGTTCATTGCGAAATAAGGATTTATATTATTTACAAATTCCCCTAGGGCTGATCAATGAGAACCAGGTGACAAATAAAGCTTTCAAGACAGCATAAGGGCTCAGCAGTGATGCCACTGTTCGATCTGAGGACCTCTGAGAAGGTCCCAGGTTCACATCCCGAGGTTTCCCAGCATATGCCAGGCCCATACCAGCTGGCTGAGGCTGGGGTAGGATCGCAGCATAAAGACCCTATGGGAGGAGCCCCTCTCTCTCTGTTTTCCTCTCTAATGGAAGAAATAAGTAAAGAAAATTTTGAAAAACATAAAGGCTTCAATTCTAATTGGAAATATAACCATCACCAAAGTTCAGAGATATCGGAGCCTAAAGATCATTTTAATTCGATCTAAGGTAAGAGCAATTCAATGATCTTCACTTGGTTATTGTAAAACACTAACCAGTCTAGCCTGTGTAATATAATATAACTAACATACCAGCACACAAACTACATTTCTCTTTTTAAATTTTTTTTTAATTTGCTATAAGGTACATGCTTTTCTCGAGAGAAACAGAGAGAGAGAGTGAGAGAGTGAGAGAGAGAAGGAAAGCCCCCTGGGGGTGGGGAGATGGGCCAAAATGGACGACCATGCCACAATCTCTTCTCCATTCTCCCCTAGGATTTAAAGTACATACACACATATGTGCCCCATGTGTTTTTCAAGTGGATGAGTCTGGGACTTGAGCCATGTAGTCGGCTTCATGGAATCTGGTACCTTAATCCAGCACCTGACAGGTCCTACATTTTTCAAATACAGCTGACAAAGCAAGTTCTACACTAAACATTTAAGCATCTTAATCTTAAAGTCTTCAATAGAGTAAATCTGAGAAAACGCCCAAGATGATAAGTAATTTTGACCTTTTGGGTGTTGGAGGGTTTGTTTTTCTTTAAAGTTTTTTCCCCCTGGCAATGATTTTTATCCCTTGTTATTTCTCATTTCAAAAGATAAGACACTTGGTCACTTGAGCATCCATTGAGGGTTTTCTGGCAACAAGGCTGGACAGAAGTTAATCTTCACAGAGACAAGATTACTATGAACAACTTGGTCCGGACGTCCCCAGTGAGCACTCTGGTGACTCACATTCCTGCACTCGAAGCCTCCCTAATCCCTATATAAAAAATGTTCATTATGTTGCTCAGCTTGTCATTAAAGCTGAACCACTAAGAGCTAGAAACGTTAAGTACAGAGACTAGACCATCACAGATACTACTGGTGTACCAGGGCTGCCTCTGCTCACACTGTCCTCTTGAGTCCTCAGAGTCCCACTTTTCTGGACTCCTCACAACCCCCCAGGGGTCCCAAGTGCATGTACAGCACTAAATCTTCAGCCTCTTGTTTCCTCTGCCAAGTGTGTCTTCCTTCAGCCCCTCCCACAACCTGGTCTTCACCTGGCAAGTTTTAACTCATCTGTCAAGCCCTAGCTAACACGCCCTTTCTTTCGAAGGCTGAGCTCTGGCTCTCCCATGACAGGACAGATTCTTCTGCCATCGTGGATGGAGGATATACTGAGATTCCCTTCGTTACAGAGCACACTGCGCCAAGCCATAAATCACCTGTTCTCCTGTCTGACTCCCCAACAAATCTCTGAGGTCCTGGGAGTAGAGACCTTATCCTAGCCGGTGGAAGAAATCAGAGAACACTAGACTGCTGTCCTTTCGGGGGGCCATAGGCAGTGGACTTTGGCTGACACACAGGTGAGATTGCCAGAGGAGTGAGGAAATGTTCCCAGTTCCAAGTCTGCCTCAGAAACACCCTGTTTTGTCAGGGAAAACCATCCACACTTTAAACTGAGCCTGCGAAATGACATATGCATCTCCCACTGGCAAAGGACATGGCACGCACCATGACGAAACTTATGTTTAGTCTCAAGCAAAAATAAACTGTAATTCAGTCAAAACTAATAAAAATCCATACTTTTCAGACTAAGAGGTGGAGGAGCAGTGTTTCCAAAAAGAGTCCTGTTCCAACAAGGCTCTTTACTGAAGGTAATTTGAGTATTTAAATAAGTAAGACTTCCAAGTGCGGTTGTGCCAATTATAAACCTTTGTTGTCGTCACAAATTTAGTCACGATTAGTATTTGAGAACTAAAAAATCGGGATTTTATCTCCAGGAAAAGAAGGTTAACTGGAAATGTTCTCTGTACTGAGTATTTGCTTGGAGACCTCAGTTTGTTCACACTTCTGCCATGAAAACCGTTCCAGTATTTCAGCCTTCATGCAGCTCAGCGTTTTCTGAACCGTTTCAGGAATTGCAACTGACATCTCAACCTTTGCCTCATTATTTCTTCCCTGTGCCTGTCGCAGGCTACCCTGCTGGTGAAATAATAGCCGGCAGGCGGAAGGAACACTGACTTTGCCTTCTTTGTATCTATCACAGCTCCTGAGGCAGAGTAAGCACACGAAATACGCAGAAATTCTCGTTCGTCGATGACACACTCTGGCAAAGGAAGTCATTTTATGAAATGATGATGAAATAAAAGAAATGGTCCCCATCTTTTCCATTTCTGTAGTCTTTAAAAACAAACAAGTAGTGACAATGGGACCAAATTTATAATCCAGTGGTTTCACTTCTGAGACCTTAGTACCCCTGGAAAGAAAAGAAAGTATATATCCCGGAAATATAAAAAGTATATAAGTAAATATGTTCAATCGAGAATTATTTATAATAGCCCAGATGAGATGAAGCCTGAGTAGAATAACATGAAATTGTAGGTATACTCAATAATAACTATAAAAAATAGATGTTAAAAAAGAATGGGAACAACAAAGACAGAATTATGTTGTAATAGCATGAGAAATTTTGAATTTTTTCTTTTCCAAATTATTGGTTCTGTTATTTTAATATTTTAAAACTGAACTGGTTTCTTTTTTTTAAAAAAAAAAAAAAAGAGAGATTTTTGCTATAGGGTATGTACGCTCACCAGAGAGACAGAGACAGAGACAGAAAGTGAGAAATTGCTCTCCCCCCAGGGGGGATGGCCACTCTGAAATCCCTCTTCCATTCTCCTCCCAGGATCTTGGGCAAACACACACATGTGCCTGGCATGAATTTTAAGCCCCCCGGTCTAGGACTTGAACCATGGTCAGCCATGTGGGAGTCCAGTAACGTGACCATCTGCCATCTGCTGATCTCTTTCTAACTTTAGTCACCAAACCTTCAGACTGCATTTATTATTGATCATGTAGTTTGTCTACTATAAACAGCAAATCAGTGTACCACAGGACTGAGCCTTGACTTGCTGACAACGGGGATGTGCATGTTCTCCACAAGTCTCATCACCGGCCTCAGGAGCCAGCTCTGTCCACACCCGCTTTGAAGGATGCATCAGCACGGTGGTGTGTCTGAAGGGAGGCTACTCTAACAATTGCACCACCCACAGTGGAAACTTCTGTCTTAGAAGAACGTCAGAATTACTTTCATTTATTTACTGTGTTAAACAGTAGTTTTAATTTGAATAAAAATAACTATGGCGTACTTGCTTTGTGCAAGTCACCATATTAAGAGCTGCAAATAATTTTTTAAAAAAGAAGAACAAAGAACAAAGAAAAAGAAATGAATCTGGGACTGGCAGGTGGCATGCTGGTTAAGGTGCTGGACTCCCACATGGCTAACTGTCATTAAAGTCCTGGACCTGGTGGCTTGCTTTTTCACTTTCTTTCTCACTCTCACCTTCTCTCCCAACTCCCTGTTTTCTATCTGGTAAGCACACGTGCCCTGTAGAAATTTTTTCTTTTAAA